ACCTAAGCTATACACTAAGATAAACACTAAACAATATGCTAAATGATCTAAGATGCATGCTAAACACTAATAATGTAAAACAGTACGGTATATTAAACAACAGCCCAACATAATGTGTCAGATCTGGAAACTGATCATAGCTGCTGTGAGTCTTTAGTGTCAGTGTTTGTTGTGTGATGAACAAACCTGTTTTTATTTAGTAGCTTTTTAATGACCACGATAATGAAGACAATAAACAGGAAACCAACAACAGCGGTCAGACCCACCAACCAGGGCTGAAGGGTCACTGATTTTGATCTGGCTGCACCTGCCAGGAATTAAGATGTCATTAATAATAATGTTAACAGCTGGACTTCTATTCTGTAGCTGAAGACGTTTCGCTTCTCATTCGAGGAGCTTTCTCAGTTCAAGTAGCAGGGAGTGTGTTCCGTAAACTAGATTCACACGTTGACTTGAACCACACACTCTCTGTTGCTTGAACTGAGAAAGCTCCTCGAATGAGAAGTGAAATATCGTCAGCTACAGAATAGAAGTCCAGTTGTTTTTGTCTTTAACCTTTTGTTTTCATTTACCATCTCCTGAATGACTGAGAATCTTCACCAGCACAATAATTTTTATTCAACATCTTCGTGCTTAAGCATTTTTTTTTTCCTCAAACAAGTTTTTTTCTGTCAAATTTAAAGCATCAACACTGAGATACCTCATTAGGATAACTACTTCAACCATTTAACCGTTCAGTTGGACTCAGACAGATTTAGGATAATTGTTTTTGTGCTAAGAATCTAAAAACACGTCTCACTTTTTATATTTCTATAAAACAACGTAACAAAATCAACATATTACCATTTTCAGTTGAGCAGCCGGTGGCACACAGCATGACACAGAACAGAAGTAGTCTCATCCTTGAGTTTAACAGATCCAGTTGATTTAGCACAGCTGACCAGCAGAGCTTTCAGTTTAACACAAGAACAACGTGGACCTCCTATCTCTGTTTCACACACGCCTCTGTGTGTCACCCACAGGTCATAGTCCGCAGGGTGATTGTGGGAGGAATAAGGGTGTGTGATCTGTTCTAATCAGCATTTTCTTTCAAACACAACACTCTGCATAAAACAACAAGATCTCTGGTTTGTACGGTAACTGTGTGGTGAAGTTTGTGTTTTCTCGTCCTCTGGCCCATTCTACAGACTGCTGGAACTACACACCAGCTCCCAGTAACCTTGAACAGGATTAAGTGGGTAAAGAAAATAGATGGATGGATCTTTGCTTTTTGCTTATTAAATAAAGTCCCACAGCTTCTGCCTCCTGCCAGTAAACCCACATTTGGATCCTTCATCCACCACTGTTTTGTAATTCAGATAAATCTGTATGCAGTTCAGACAGTCAGTAAATGCACATAATGTGTCCCATGCAAGATAATAGTTACAGTGATATAATAAATCTTTATTACAGATAGACGTAGTTCAACAAGGCTTTCAATATTTTAAAATGATAGCCACGTGTACAGTCACAACAAACGGTCTGCATCTTTCAGTTTAAAGCTGTCGTACTGTAGTTCTTGTTATGTGATATAATGGAATGATTTACTTTTAACCTGTATTTAACCAGACAGGACAAATAAACAATTTCTTATTTACATATGTGGTATGGTAAAAGGCAACGCCTCTGGAAGGAGAGGAGGACAAACGGGATATAAAACAAGACAAAAGTTGCTGTGGAACTGAATGCATTGTGAGGTTTTTGTAAGAGCATGGTGCATGCATGTTTTTGGTCTGTGGGAGGAAACTGGAGTACCTGGAGAAAACCCACACATGCACAGCGAGAACATGCAAACTCCACCCAGAAAGACCCCGGACTGGGATTTGAACCAGGGACCTGCTTGCTGAGAGGCAGCAGCTCTACCAGTTGCGCCACCGTGCTGCCCTTGTTCAATTCAATTCAGTTTATTTATAAAGCGCCAAGTCACAACAGAAGTCGTCTCAGGGCACTGAACAGAAACATTCATATATAAAAATAATAAGTTCACATTATTTATCTGAGGAGCAGCTTTGAATTTAACTCCATCACAGAACTCTCATCTTGAGCAAGCATGAAGGCAACAGTGGAAAGGAAAAACTCCCTCATGAGGAAGAAACCTTTAGCAGAACCAGGATCAGGACAAGAGGACATCTGCTTCTACCAGCTGGGTTTGAGAGGAACAGATACACAATGGCAGGTCAAGAATCACGTTTAGATAGAAATAATATCAAATGAAAACTATTCAATTTTAACAATTCATTTAAGGAAACAAGGTCACTTTGTCCTCTAGTAGTCTAAGTCTATAGCAGCATAACAAGCCAACCCTAATTATAGGATTTATCAAAAAGGAAAGTCTTAAAACTGGACAATGTGTCAGCCTTAAAGACAGAAACTGGAAGTTGGTTCCACAAGAGAGGAGCCTGAGAACTGAAAGATCTTCCTCCCATTCTGCTTTTGGAAACTCTAGGAACTGCAAGTAAGCCTGCAGTTTGACAGCAAAGTGCTCTGTTGGGAAAATATGGAACAATAAGATCTTGAATATAAGATGGCGCTAGGTTGTTGAGGGCTTTGTAGGTTAGAAGTAGGATTTTGAATTCAATTCTGGATTTGACAGGGAGCCAATGGAGAGAAGCTAAAACTGGAGCGATGTGATCTCTCCCACTAACTCCAGTTAAGACTCTGGCAGCAGCATTTTGGATTAACTTTATTAATATTAATAGACATTTTAAAGAAGTATTTAAACACAAACCAGTCCAATAGTCCAGTCTAGACATGACAAATGCATGAACCATTTTTTTCTGCATCATTTTTAGATGTTTCTAATTTTTGTGATATTACGCAGGTGGAAGAAGGCGGTTCTAGTAAAGTTTTTAATCTGGGGGATAAAAGACATGCCCTGATCAAGAATAACGCCAAGATATCCTGATGCATGCTCAATAATCACATTTCGTCTTTCATCCGAAAGACTTCTTCGAAACGTTTCTACAAGTTTTTATTTTTTTAATCCATCCAGAGGACCTGATTTAACTTTTTTTTAGCTTACCTAATGGAAGCATATACAAGGTAAAGAGTATTGGTCCAAGCACTGAACCTTGAGGAACTCCATGACTAACTTTGGTGTAAGATGAAGATTAATTATTTACATTCACAAATTGGAATCTATCAAATAAATATGATTTAAATCAATTTAGAGTCATTCCTGTAATTCCAATATCATATTCAAGTCTCTGTAGTAAAATATTGTGATCAATTGTATCAAACGCAGCACTGAGGTCTAACAGGACCAGTGTAGACACCTGTCCATTGTCAGAGGCCGTGAGAACATCATTAATAACTTTCACCAGTGCAGATTCAGTGCTGTGGTGAGCTCTAAACCCTGACTGAAACTCTTCAGATTATTTATTTGAAGATGATCACGCAACTGACCTGAAACTATTTTCTCTAGAATTTATTAGATGAAAGTTAGTTTAGATATAGGTCTATATCTATCTGGCTAATAATAATAACAATAATAATATTGATAATAGTAATAATACTATAATTGGTTCAGAAGAATTTCAGTAGCAGTTTAAGGTTTGACCACAAACAACAAGCAGGAACTCTTTCCTGTGCTTGACAATGTGACGTCATATGCAAATCACTCGAGTAAAGTTTGTTCATCTCTGTTTTCTGAGAGCTTTTTCTGATGGGCTCACTTTTTAATGTGGAAACATATGTGCTTTTGGGAAACCAGTCAGTCTGCACCAAGAAATGTTTTTTTAGACTTGACATAGCCAGGTCTTTATAGCTAGAAGGACATGTGCTTTCAGCGGATTCTGCTGTTGTTCTTCAGTCTGTCTCAAATCCTTGTCTGTAAAATCGAGTCCATGAAATTATGAAAACTGCTTAAATGAAATGATTTCCTTTCTTTTACATATTGAGCTCTACAGTAACCCACACTTTGCATGTACTGCTGAGTTTAGGACTGCTTCAGATTAAAAACAAACCAGGAAGCATTGATAATTATAATCCAATAAAACAAAGTTAGTAAAAACACTGTGGGAGGCTGCAGTCTTTTAAAAACATAAAAATCCCATCACACTTAGCCGTCATTTTATTCATATAAACATCTATTTTTAATTTGAACAACTTTCAGTATTTATTGTAGTTAATTCATGTCATAGACCGGAAGAGATGACAATTAAGGATGAGACTTCCTGTATAAATAAAGGGTAAATTAAAAATAAATAAATAAAGGATTCAAGTTTAAACTCAGAAAAAGTGTGTTTGAGTTCACTTAGAAGCATAAGATCAAATCATACAACGTGTAGCTGTGAATTCATGTTAATAAGAACCAAGCATCAATCCAGTTCAGTCAGCTGTCTCTCTGTTCAAAGTGCTTGTGTGACTCATGGCAATCAGTCATGACTAATGCCACATTAGCCCCTTATGTACGAACAGCAAGAACACTCCTGTCAACGCCTATAAGAGGTCAGAGAGAGTCATACTCCAGTGAGATTTGATGATTAGTAAGAAATGAGGATGCTTTGTGTGATTTTTGTAAACCTAGACTGCGTGAACTCCAGCAGTCTAATCACAATCCTCTGATAAAAGATGGCTGCTTTATTTGATAATGTTAGATTGTCTAAATGGATTTAGGCTGATATTATTTGAAAGAAGGTGTCTAAAAAATTACAAGCATTATGGAACCACCAAAGATACAGACTGTGTGTTTACAGGCAGCAGTGTAGACCAGATACATGTGGGAATATTCCTCCTTGTTGTCTGGGAGCTGTGAAGTGCATCATCAGTCTTTGTTACATATAAACAGTCATATAGACAGATCAAGTAAAAGCAAGCATTTAGAGCTCAATAACTGTCTTACTATGTAAATAAATCTTAGCACTACATTTTATGATTTGAATTGTTTCCACTGATTCTTGTAATTACACCCCCATCCACAGTGGCTCCAAAAAACATTCTTTCCGTGGTGATTCTTTTAGGTTCACGTTTTTGACCTCAGCGTCAACAAATACGAGGCGCTCTGCCAGCAGATAGTGGTGGACAAAAAGAAAACCAGGCTGACGCACATTGAGTTCAACCCCATCCATCCCGTCATCATAGTAGGCGATGACCAAGGCTACGTCAACTGCCTGAAACTCTCTCCTAACCTCCGCCAGAAGCCCAAGGTAAGAATCATTGCAGCCAGTTAAAGGCAAAGTTTTTAATGGGGTTGTGTGTTATAGTACTGAACAGTCAGTATCTTACCTGAGTAAGAACTACCGGTACATTTTGGTAACAATCTGTGGCTACTACAAAGGAATGGCTGTGTCTGCCAAGAGTGGCGTTGTTCTAATCCAGAGTTCTTCTTCTGTGTAGTCTGACTCATAAACCAATCTTATTTCCCCCAAAAAATAAAGTAGATGTCATTTTGGAATCAGAACAGCACAACTGTGAGTTACAGTTGCTTAATGAGATGTAATTTGAGTGTCTTGTCTGCATCAGCACCAACATTTAAGTTGAGAAAACAGTGACAACATAGATAAATATCCCACTCAAAAGTGGCAAGATGTTAAAGAATCATATAGTGTTTCCATGTGCTACTAGGATGAGTTTGAGTTGTTTTAAATTGAAAAACGTTTTTTAATAGGCCCCTCTCAAAGTAGCTGTTAGTGTGACTCCCCCATGAGAACTCCTCTCTGATTCTCCAAACTGAGATCCTCTCACTGCTCCATGACGACTCCACACAGTTATTAGATGCACGTTTTTTACCATTGTTATAAAATAACAGATGCAGTGTCAAAAAATAGCTTCAGTTCGTTGCGTATAAAAGCAAAATATATCCATCAGAAAATCTAATTCTACTTCAACCTGTCTGTTGATGAGTCCCTGAATGTTCTGACGTGGGGAGTTATCGCAGCGGTCCTGAACGCAGGAGGAAACCGAACTTCACACTGAGTCACATCACTCTAATCAGGCCTCGTTAAGAGTTAGCTCTGCAGACTTTCTCTTTCTTTGTGTTGCTCACATCATTTCATGTAAACTACAGATTATAATGTCTAAAAGAAATGCATTAAATGCCAACTGCTTGCACCTACCCCCTTTAAGCACATTCATAAACACAGTAAATGCACCATAACAACACACGGACACGTGGACTTCTTCCTGACATGCATTTTCAAGCTGTAGCCCTTACACGTCCATTAGCCCTATAACTGCACAGTTCAGCACCACTGACAGCGCTGAGAGCATTTTGATGCCAAATAAGGCGAGTAAGGGCCAGAAACCCTTAACAAACATTTTAATAATAAGTCCTGCAGCGTGAGGACATTAGCCTGCTCAGGCCGAGCGCTGCGTGCACAGGGTGCCATATTTAAGGTCATAAAACTCCTTTTATAAGCTGCCTGCCAGTGGGGTTCATATCGTCTTCATTACTGTAGTGTAAGCTAAATGTCAAGTCATTTCCAATCTCTCTGTACGTTTGTGTCTGTGTACAGAACAAGAAGGAGCCGCTTATGGGTCCAGCAGCAGAAGTTGCCAAGATGGAGAAGCTTCTAAGCCTGCTCAGAGAACCAGAGCCGAGCCCAGTTTAACTTGAACAGACTGGTTTCCCTCCCCGTCGTAACCACATGGTACAGTCCTTTGTTCTCATTCAGAAAAGCCCAGCATCGTTTGTCTGCTCTGAAATAAGATTACATTCACATGAAAAGAAAACTGATTTTTTTTTTATTACAATCTTATTCAAGATTCAACTAAAATATATATTAATACTGATAGAAAGGTTAAAAAGGTTTCTGAAATGAAACATCTTTAACTTTCTGAGTTATTGGAGCTTCGAACAGACACAGTAGAAATTCACATTATTTTTCTCTTCTCCATAGAATTTGTCTCTACTTTCAGTTTTGAGCTCAGACTTTGGTTTCTGTTGTCCTCATATTTGCCGCACAGAACCAGATGTCTATTTGTCCCAAAAGCATTTGGAAACATGAACTCATCTGACCACAGACGATGTGTCCACGATCATTTGAACTCACCAGAATAAAAACAAGCTTAGTCACTCACGCACAGGGAGCTCCGCGAAGTTGTTCATCTTGACATCGTCACTCATCTGCTGATTGTATAAACTTTAATTGTGTTGTTATAAATTTAAATATATTTGCCTGTTTCACAAATGTTTGTTTGTTGACTAAATGCAAACCAGTTGGTAAACACTAACAATGATTTCCCTTGTTTGTTACATGAAGGTTCATTCAATTCACGAACAGCTGCATCTACATTAGTCTCTGATTTTTGGGAAATTCTTCAGCATTTCTGGAAATGAGATGTTTCTGCAGTAGACAGGCAGCCTTAGGATTCAAACGATTAGACTAACCTTACTGTCTCTAAAAACTTCTCAGACTTATATTTAATGAACAAATAATATAAATAATGATAAATAAATAAGGGTTAAAGCTGTAAGTGCTCAAGGTCATGATTTAATCTAATAGACTGAACCCTTATGGACTTAATCCAGAGCAACTTATCTTGCCTAACCTGTCCGTTATTATGTTTATGTATGATTCCTCTCTGTGGTGGCACGGTGGTGCAGTTGGTAGAGCTGCTGCCTCTTGGCAAGAAGGTTGCTGGATCAAATCCTTGATCATTCTGGGTGGAGTTTGCATGTTCTCTCCGTGCATGCGTGGGTTTTCTCCGAGTACTCCTGTTTCCTCCCACAGACCAAAAACATGCATGTTAGTCTGATTGGTGACTCTAAATTGTCTCTAGGTGTGAGAGTGAATGGTTGTTTGTCTCGTTTGTCTCTGTGCGTCCCTGTGATGGACTGGAGACCTGTCCAGGGTGTCCTCTGCCTCTCGCACAGAGTGTTGGATATGGGTACCAGTGACCCCCGGGACCCGAAAAGGAAGAAGCGGGTAAAGATAATGGATGGATGGTGTCGCATACAAAACAGTCCGTCGCCGGGCAGTTTATTGTGCGACACCGAGTACGCGGTCATAATGCTTCTAATACAGAGGTGATAAATTCACTAATAATATTTCCTTAGGCTCTTATACCTTTTTTCTTCTTAACCAGTACAGTTCTAATATCAGGTAAATGCATAACAGACAGCTCATACTGTGATACCGTCCTTAAACCCTGTGACATACCTTGTTAGTCTGAAGTTACATCACCAGCATTACTGATGAAACGTTTAGGTATGGAACAATCGGGGCTCATCAACAGCGTCTGTTCAGGATCCTGCAGGAAATGTTCCCTCGGTGTGTGACGATCCTGAGATCCATTCCAGACTGAGCTGCCCATCACAAACAGCCTCATGTCAGTGAGAGTCACATCAAGCAAGACACAGGTTTTAAATAACCCTCTTTAGTCCATGAAGCACCTTCTGCTAGGCCGCATGGTTTACTGATATCGACATGTGACAATGAAACACACCCTGTTGTTAGCAAGACTGCCTTGTTTTTTTAAGCCACCTTATGAAATTTGAGGATATATGTAGAAAACTTGGACGACGTCTGTCCTTTCTGTCTGCCTGTGTTTAGAACCTGCAGCCATCCCTGTGGCCGTTCCATTTCTTTACACCACTTGTGTTTATTCTCGTTCTCAAACAGCTTTGTCGTTTTAAGGACTGAACGTGACAAGTGATGGCTGTCTAAAAATAGTTTTGCTCCTCCACAACAAGTCACTCTGGTTATCTCTGTGAGGCACGGCCTCATCCGTCAGTAGATCCATGGCTGACTTTAAAATGTAGATCAGGGCGCTCCTTGTAATTCTTTGCAGTCGGTCCTCGTGCTGCCTCAAATCCTGTTGAAGTGCACAACAAATCCATCACTTGCTGCTACATTTGACTCGTGGTTCTGCAGTCAGGAGGTCAACAGGTACTTGTGCTCGTTCAGCTGCTGGCTTTCTGCTTCGCTCGGCGCCAACACAGGCAGCCTCTCTGGGCTGGAAGGGACCCTGCAGGCCCGGTACACAACCAGACAGAGCAGGAGAAGCAGGACGGCCACAAATGTGTTGCAGGCGACAGCCACCAAGGCGGCCGTGGATAATCCTTGGCTGCTTCCTGCAGATTCCATAATGAGGACTGAACCGCAGCTTCTAATGTTCATCAACCTCAGCGTGGGGCGTTTAGGTCCATAAAGAACAGAGGGACACTGAACATTATCATCCTCACAGTCCACACCGCTGACTGCACGAGGCAACAGCAGAGACGTTCTCCTGTTTGTGTCCCTGCTCAGATGAACGCTGGCTCTTTTTCTTTAAGGTGACACAGAAGCCCTCCATAATCCAGATTAGAGCTGCAGCTCTCTGCCAGTGAGGGCTTCACTGGAGTCTGCACTGGAAACATACTTCCACTGAGCACTTTCCAGAGTCTGTCCAAGAAGAACAAGGAGAACCGTTAGACATCAATGAAACATATAGATACTGTTCATCAGTCACTTGAAATGTTCATTTAAGTGACATTGATGTCATTTGAACTTCTCATGCTCCTTACTTTGTAGTCAGTTGAATTTAGCTGAATTACTTTTATTCAAACAATAAGATAACATTTTTAAACTCCAACTTTCCAAAATAAAAGTTTATGGAAAGCAGATGAATCAACATCATCGTCATCAGTCGCTCATTGATGTAACGATATTCGTCTGAACACGTGTGTTCCTTAAACATTTAGGTATTTGCATTTTGATAATTTTAGTGGTTGGGAATAACACTTTTGCTAACATTTTTAAAAAATGGCGTGTTTATCAATCTAAAATTTGTCTTGTGTTTTAATCTACAACAACGTAACTCATCAAAGTTCATACTTGGATACAAAAAGACATTTTGTTCTTTATTAAATAAAAAAAAGCAGTAGCATCACATTTAGCATTATATGACTTTGTTTAGATTTCATTTATCTTTTCTTTTCTTACATCTGAAATGACGTCGTTTTAACCTGCCATGTACACTTCTGCTCATGTTGTTCTTTAAATATCATAAACTAGTTCAAGATCAGCATCGTTCCATAACTCGAGGAGCGGTTGGACTTGTGTAAATGACCGTCTGATTGTTTTAAATCAGTTTGAAGCTGTTTGCCGGTCATTTGCTCTAATCTGGAGTCAAGTGTTTCTCAAAGCACAGAAGCACCACAGCTGTTGAAAACTATCTGTATTTGTATTCATAGACCGGACCCTGATTTTTAATTTATTTTAATTTTTTTATATGAACATCTGTATTTTCCATCATCAGGTTTTCTCTTGAATTATTATTATTTTTTTTGCTAAGTTCAGTTTTCTGATCCACACACTTTGTTCTTTTCATTAAATGAATACAGTTTCTATCAGATCGAATCACAACTCAACCACAAGTGGTTTTCTTTTGGTTCCAAACATTTTCCACGTGCACCACACATGTATTATAATATCTAATATCTAAATGCAGCCTGTGCTTTTATTAACCAGATTAAACGTTAATTAAAGGTCAAATCAGTCGCAGCGTAACTTTTTGTCACCGTGCACATCCCAGTCTCCCACGCACGTCTGCAAACATGATGTTCATCATATGAGCTGTAAACACACAGGCAGGACAAATGCTGATGTGGAAGCACATCATCATACGTTAAACTGACTTTTGTTACCGTTTGCTTTATTAGACCTGCGGTAAATGACTTGAGGACTGCAGTCAGTGTGAGTGATTGAAGAAGAAGTGGAGGTAAAGTGTTTTCCTTGATGTTGCTCACAGGATATTATCACCCACAGCCGTACAGAGCAGAGAATAATACAAGCATCACTATATAGCACATAACACAACATGAAATTACATTAAAGATATGACGCCATGACAAACTAAAGTAATGTACATACGGTATGAGTGCACCTCTGGTTAGTTTTCAGCCAATGTTTCAAAGAGTTTTTAAAGCTGGAGTGGGTGCCACAGCTGATACAACCTGGCAGTCTCGTCAATCTGACGGACACCACCATTTGTCCAAATTTAGTCCTGCGCCGCTGCTCATTACAATCTCCTCTGGTCAGTGCTTTTGTGTTTACTGTGTTATTTGTTTTTTAACATAAAATACATTAAATGAGGAGGAAGTCAATTTAAAACTTTCAAAATAAGGCAAGCATTCGTCCATTTTGGACTCTGGTTCTGATAAACTCCTTTGTCCTGAGCTTAAAGCTCCACTGATGTCTCGTGGCTTCGGCCTCCTGTTAATCAACTGATTGTTGGAAAAAATAAATAAAAAAACTCCTTTAATGTTGTACTTTGAAATAAAAGACAAAAATTTGTTGGGATTTCCAGTTTCACGTCATTCTTTTCTAGTAAAGTATTTAACTTTTTCTACAACCGCGAGCACTTTATCAGTCTTTAAGTTCAGTATTTTTGAAATTCATCTGTATAACATGAATGCACAAACTTATAAAGCTGCAGGTTCAACTTCAAAATATAACACTAAGTTTTAGGTGAATACTAAGAAACACAAAAAATGTAATTTTGTAAAACTTTAGCTTTTTAAAAGTAATAATTTGGCGTTAACCATTAACTTTTTTGGCAAATTATTAAATACATCTGAATTTGATCAACATGTTTCATTGCAACAACTCAACATTTTAATGTAATG